GTCCTATTTTATTTAAATAATAAATTGATTTTTTAAATTTATAAGAATTTTATGGATTGCTGTACAAAACAAAGTGGCAGCTTGTGGTATTGAATATATATATATACCAGTCGCTACTATAACTAAACCAGAAACTTGATGCTTGTAGCAGGAGGGTAAGATAGATTGGTTCAAGAATAAAATAGTTGTCTTCTTATTTCTAGATGAATTTGTAACAAATTTAAATCCATAAATAACTCTATCTGTTAACAATCAGGGATTTAATAATGCACTATTATTTAGAATAGACGTAACCTATACTCTAAAATTCTATTGTAACGAATATTTGTGAACCATTTTCCCGGTATTAATTACCTGGTGCATCGGGTAGGTAAGAAATGATTCGAGAGATCTGCCCTCGCATGATGGCTTTTCTTCATATCGCTTCAGGAGACGATTAAATTCGACCTTTTGCTTGTACTCAGCCAGCACCTGTAAGGAATAGTGATGATTTCGCACATATTCCTGGTAAACTCCAAGCATAGGGAGAAGCATATCGAAGAGATCACCTTATTTTAAATAAATAAAATGTAAAATGACCCATTAAATATTCTGTTAATTTTAATATATATATATATATCACCTATATAGGTGATTCTGTAAGCACCTAACAAGGGCTAATTCCTTATGCAAAGGAATATTTTATGCTTCTTTTATTTACTAGTATCAATAAAATTACCAGCATATTGTCCTTGAAGCAACGAAATGAAGGATCATTATAATGTGTGATCAACGCCTTTTTATTTTCTGAGAAATGTTTATTAAGTTAAAATAGATTTAATTGAAGATGGTGTAAGGAATCTCAACTTAATTTCAGCATTAAAATATAATGTGTAAACAACAATTTCCAGTAAAAGCTAAAGTCGTTCATTTAGCCTTTCGATAAAGTAACTAATTTGTGCAAGCTCACGCAATATGTTTTACTAATACTGTAATTTTTGAAGTGGCTGCATGAAATACCGCCTTCGACGCTTTTCAGAATAAAGATCCTAATTACTATTTGTGCAAAATATCACTATATCGAGGTCCTGACAACATTGTATAGGCATATTTTTAAAATAAATGCAATATCCCTCGCGCGCAACTTAAATAGAAACAGTTTGACTGTCATAGCCCTAGTAAGAAGTAGACGCAGAGGGTAATATACCACAGAATGAAACTGTTTCATACCGGTTGCTCGGTTGTCCACTAATTATAATTTAAATTAATTACTTAAGCTTGGGATTCGCATGGTGTTTAAATTCAAAGATTAAAAAAAGGATGAAAAATGAGACAGATATGTGCGTCATGATTAAGAGTAACAAATAATGAAATAGGAATAAAATAAATCCATTATTTTATTCAATGTAAGTTGCTACTATTATTTAAAAGTAGGCTCAAGTATTGAAATAAATAAACCGTAGCGATATATATTCGGTTTTATACTGTGATAGTATATGACTAATGTCATAATGCCATAATTGGAAAATCCTTCACCATAAATGAGAGAGAGCACTGGACAATATAGACTAATAGATTCAATAAACCAAAGGAACTCATCCTAGCGCATATTATTTAAGCTTTTTGCTTTTATCCGTCATCAATACAGGAAGCTTGACCTCACCTGATAAAAAGTGATAAGGGATTATATTTTCCGTGCAAGAATAAATTTATGTTAGAGTAAACTATTGATGATTTTAGTCGTTGCTCTCTCGGATTAATATCCTTTCGGAAGATTACACCTGCTGATATTGAGAACTACGTTCTTTCCCAATCATACATGGTGGCCCGGATTTAGAGATTACAACAAGTCAGATAGGTAAGACAAGAAGGAATAACTGACAGAAATTTAGAGAAATTACAAGGAGAATTAAGTATCAGTCGGGATCAAATGGCCCTGCAGATTGTCTACGAGACCGGTGGTAAAGCTTATTACGGCTCTCAACACCCATTTTAAGGGCTACAAACTTTGGAGGTAACAGAAGGTTTTGCTATGAAAAATTTCCATTTAAAAAAGGATTAGAGGACAAATATGCTGGTCTAGGAGGTTAAGAAAAGGGGTAATTAAAGGAGAGTTCACGATTGTCTGACAGAAAATTGAGGTAGGAAGGTCCTCAGTTTTCCCTTTAATGAATAATATCTCGGCATTGAGTCTGGCTCATCTCATCGAGAATGACAAAACGTCTGTAAATGTGCCAAAATAATGGGTTAATGATAAAATCTATCATGAACGTTATGGTGACACGGAACTAGGTACCTTCTACAAGGTCCGCCTGACTTTCAGAGAAAATTAGTAAAACGAGGTCATATCAACTTAATATAACTAAAGGAATCTGCGAACAAACAAACAATGAGTTACTATGGTCTAACCCAAAACTTTAATAATAAAACGTTTTAATATAATACAATTAGAATGAACTGATGAGAATTTTAAATAAATACTTCTATATCCGGCAATTTTCCATGAAAAAGAGGCAAGACAAATTAGGGTTTCTGAGATAATTTATCCGTGAAGAACTGTTGCTTAATTTGCCAAGGAATAATACTACAAATTACAAGGGTTGGTTAATAAAGTATCCGGGAAAATATACTCAAAAGTTAATAAAAGGTAATAAAAATTGAATAGGAAATATAATCTTTATTATGAAGAAGAGGAAATTTAGTTAGTGGCCTCGTTCTGCTTTTCCAAAAGCCTACTTAGGGCAATCATGCGGTAACTACACTTTAGTTTTTCGGGAGAAAAATATCTATTTGATTGTTTAAATTTTCAGAACGGAATAAATTATAAACTTATCAACATTTTCTGACATTAGATAATTTGTTGAAAGAGTATAATAAACTTACCAAGTTGGAGTGTTGGCCACTGCTCCATTTTATTTCTTAGTCCTTGGAGGAAAAACTGGTGTAGGAAAAGTACAGTTTCGCTATAAATAAAAATTAAAAAATTTATTAGATGTACATTAGATGTATATTGATGTACATTTAGTAAAAGCCAACTTCTATCTTGACTTATTCATAGTATAAATTGGCCGTATCTAACTAAGTAAGGTACAAGCAGTAAAATGAAGTCTTAATCATTTCTTGAAACCTATTCGTTATAATTAAGCAAATATTTATACTTGTAATTTTTCCACTAATATCAATAGATGTGCATAAATAATTCCACCTAATGTATAAAAAAGGCTGCTAAATATGAAGGACATGATTTTGTGGCCTTTTTAAAATGGTTTGACTGAATTTTCGTGATTTGGTCGTGCTATCAGTGCCACCTATTTGGACGAACCTTATCCGAATTCCTTTGCTATAGCAGTTATGATAATTCACATCTTTGGAGACTGGACTTGGTACGATTATAGACATTTCGTCGGCATCGTAGTCGGAATATTCAGTGAGTCAGGACTGTTATAAAATTAGCTACAGCTCGTCAAGAAAGATAAGAGTCCCTTTGGTGAACTGTAGCTTGGTCCTGAGAAAGTTCACTGACAACGGCTGAGAGAGCTCCCAATTTGAGAATAAGATAAAATACTTAAGACTTATATAGATTATAAGATTTATGATCATTTAAACATGCCAATTATTAGGAAGGAGAGATAAAGTTGCCGAATTGCAAGTAGTATCTCGGTGTGAAGGGATTAATTAACTGCTATCAAAGTTTTCTGATAACTTATATTCTTTAATTAAATATGCTTGCTGCAAAGCTTCTTATTGGACCTTATGATATAAACACTTTTACGCATAAAAAGGTATAGGATTTTGGGGCACTAGACAGCATTTAGGGGCATGGGGACCGAGCTGTAGTTGCTGTAGAAATACTATAAACACTTGCAACAGATACCCTATAAGATTTAAGAGATGATAATAGATAGATATAATTAAATTTTGGGAAAGTCTTAACCATATATTTATATGCAGATTACCAGATAAAATGAAGTTGCCTTTATGCCTTAGCTACGCTTGCAAAGTTTCATGATCAGGTTTAGGGCTGGGTCAGTATAAAAAGAAACATGTGCAATATCAGAAATTAAAGGTTAAGTTTTTTTTGTACTTACTCTACTTCAAGTAAGTTAGTGTTTTAGGCATACTTAGCCCAAATAACACAATACCTTAGTAAGAATTTTCATTTTACTAATACTTTTTTTATACCAAAAGTATTTACTTATAGAGGAGGTTATATTGCTGAGTTCACCATAAACCTTTCATCAGCACCCCTAAAGTTTTAATTGCTGATATCCAAAAACCCACAAATATTTGAAATTAATATAAGGAGAAACTTGGTCACTGTTAAATAAATATTTGGTGATAGTAAACTTATCATGAACCTTATTATTATGTTTATATGTGAATTAATAACTATTAATGAGTATATCCTTTTCATGCATTATCGATAGATTAAGCTTGAAGGCATGGAACAAAAAACGTGGGCCTTCAGTAACAGATTTTTTTGACTCTATGCAGCTTAAGATAAATGCTTATTGGAGTCTATTGGCTATTTTTAATATCTAGTTAGTAAATAATATTGATGATGCCGTAATATATCTTTTTCTTTACTGAATGAGCCTTCTTTATACAAATGCCAAATCATAAAGTGAGCCGACTCACATTATATGTTTGAAGGGAAGATAAACCAAGCTTAATATTGGCTCATTTAGCATTTACAGTAAAATAGTCTTTAACTATCTAATTATTTAAAAGTGGATAACCAACAAAATGCCTTTGAGTGTTGCAAGCCATGAGCACTAAGAGAATTGTGAAAAGATAATAAAATTTTAATTCGATAGCGAGTATTTTATTCCATATAACTTTATATTAACAATGTTGATATGTTGGTTATGAGGACATTCATTTGAAACCAAACAAATTCTTCATTGTAAATCACCCAAGTTTTCTAACTCTACGGTTTGGATTGTTGTCTCTATAGCTTGTCATATCAAAGTATCAGGCCTGATTTTGAGGTTATTTTGTATACATTAATAAAATAGATTACACTTCGAAGGATAATAAGGCGTTCATAAATCAGTATATAAGCTGTATTCATTCTATTTCATTTGAGGCAATGAAGGACTGCTAGTTGAATTTTACCAGATTCGAAATTACCGTCGATCATAGATGAACATACATTTTGGGAAGAGAGGTTTTATGAAATTTAACGAAAAGGTGAGGCTCACTCATACCACCATAGTAAAATTCAACTAATAGACATAAGTACCCTAAATAAAATCACGTGAACATAGCTAAAAGAGAAGAACTGCTTGTCAAAATAAAAGATTATGCTGCAGGCCAATACCTTAGAGAATGACTTTTATATGTATAAATGGCATATGAACTCTGCTTTAAAGTTTTATATTGAAACCCGTTGCCTAAATACTAGAAAACCTTTCTTCGGTTATATTTATCCCCTTACCCATATTTAGCCATCAGCTAGTATTTTATTACATTCATAGTCTGAATAATAATTCTAGCCAAATTACTGATAGCAAGGATAGATAGGTGTTTAAATCCGTAAAGCTTTTTCTTAC